CCCGCAGGCGTCTGGGCCGTGAGGGCGGGCTCTCGCCTCAGGCCCTCGCACAGGTTCCGCTCACCTGCAGCCAGGCGAGCCCGTCGGGAGCGGTGACAGCCTCCCCAGCGCTGGCCGCCCGCCTTTCCCCTCGCCCCCTCCGCCCCAGGCGGCAGTAGGCCATTGCTGCCCGCGGGCTTTGCCCTCCCCGCCACGCGCCTCCAGAGGGACTTCTTTGCCAAACCAGCGGGGGAGGCCACTGTTCATAAAACCGCTTTGTGGCCTTGATCCTTCCGATTTTGCCCCCGTCCGACGCGCTGTGGCGTTACGCTTTGCAATAAAGGTGTCCCCTCTGGCTCCTGCAAGTTTTGCCGCTGTGTAGGAATTTCAGGTCCAAGCTGATCATGCACAAGGTTGGTGGACTTGAGTGTCTTGAGCATGCTTAAGAAAGCTACAAGTGATTTAAAGGACATTTCTTAAGTCATGCCCCTGCTGTGATGGTAAGAGAGTCAGCTTTCCAGGGCGCTGTTATTGGAAGGAACAGGTGCTCTTTGCCAGAGCTCTTGAGCCTCTCGCATCTTTCACTTGAGAAACAAGTGCTGGATTTAGTGAACTTGCCAACATGCTAGAGAAGCCACTTGTTCAGCTTCCCTACAGTATATGCTGCTTCAGAAGTGAGGAAGTGGGAAGGACCATTACTGGCTCCTGGAAAACTGATCGATTTAGCCCCGCTGCGATTTGTGTCCTACTGCTGATTCCACTGGGAGTACGGCACAGACATCTCAGCTGCAGAGGTCAGATTTATTTGTATTCACGCTTAGCTATTAACGGTGTGTGGCCTGCATAACCTCCTACAGTGCGATCTCTGCCTCTCTGTTTCCTGTACAAATTAAGAACTCAACTTCTTGCTGATACTGGAGAGACAATGGTAAAACACATCAAAACAGAGCTCTTAATTCTTCCCTGCCAGTCTTCGCTTCTCCACTTGTTCACAAATCACGCCATCTTTGTGATCTCACTGGCCCTGCTGGCAGCCTGCGGTGCCTTTGGCGGCAGCCTTTTCCCCTCAGTCTGGGCACTTAATCAGTGCCTGAATCCTGTTGGTGTCTTTCCAGCCACACAGATTACCAGCTAAACTCTCATTATGACTATAACAAATTCTCCCTTTCTGGGATTGACAGCTCTTTAGACTTCTTTAATATCCATTCAAAGCATTCAAGAGGGACTTTCCTCCTCTTGTGTTGCTCTGCTCTCTTCTGCCTTCCCCTCCCTCTCAAGTCCCTGTCTTCTGTCTACAGGCCCTACCCGTAGGTAGGTTTGGAAGGAATCTTGTGCGTGCAATATGCCACCCTTAGGGGCAAGTGTGTGATGGAGGGATTTGCAGAAATACCTAATCCATGCCTTCCCAGACATGCACATTGTAACAAATTGGCCACAACACTCTGTATCAAACTAAGCATCCTGGGCAATCGCTTCTCAGATTTACAGCTTGTCACCAGGATGGGGAGCAATCATCCCAGTCCTAGAACTGAAAAGCACAGCAAACTCCTTTGTTGAGAATGCCCGGACAATTCTTGTAAATGAACTGTACCGGCGAGGAAGATGTACACCCCGAGTCTGGCAAACATCCCCAGTCTCAGCATGAACTGGAAGGGGTCAGAATCTGGATCAAAACAAAAATCGGCCAACCACGCAGCGAAGAGGTTTCTCAGGACTCTAGAAGCATCAGTACTCTCCACCATCTCACCAATGGTCAATCTTCACTACTTCGGGGGAAAACTATTCTTTCCTGTTATTGCTGACCACAGAGTCACAAAATAATTGAGGTCGGAAGGGATGTCTCAAGGTTAGCCGGTCCAACCGCCTGCTCAAGTCGGGCCACCCACAGCCAGTTACCCAGAACTGTGTCCAGACGACTCCCCATGGAGGGAGACACCACAACCTCTCTGGCCAACCTGTTGCAGTGTTCAATTGCCCTCACAGTAGTAAAAAAGTGTTTCCTGATGTTCAGATAGAACTCTCAATGTGTTTCAGTTGGTGCCTATTGCCCATTAGTCCTGTCACTGGGCATGACTCAAAAAAGCCTGGCTCTTCTTGTAATCCTCCCTTCAGCTATTTATGTACATTGGTAAGATCCTCCCCAAGACATATCTTCTCCAGGCTAAACAGTCTCAGCTCCCTCAGCCTTTCCTCACAGGAGAGATGCTCCAGTCCTGTTATCATCTTTGTGTCCCTTTGCTTGACTCATACTCCAGTATGTCTATGTCTCTCTTGTACTGATGCTGTTGAGATGTTGACCCAGAGGGTCTTGAGGGATGCCAGCGCTCAGTGCCTGCCTGTGTCTCAAGCACATTCACCCTGGCTGTTGGGTGTAGAAAGAGCTCCCAGTAGAATTGTCCAAAGCTCACAAGCCTTCCTTCTCAAACCCATGTTGTCCACCTCTACTTCCCTTTTGACAGCAGCTGGGCTGCCAGTTTGCCATAGCCATTGCTTATCCTACTTTTTGCCTTCTGCTCTCGCTATCCACCTGCTTCTGCCCTGAGAGGGAGCTCTTCAGAGCCCCACACGTTCTCACAATTGCTACATCAGTGTCATCGCAGCCTCTTGCATTGGCAACAATTAAAATACCCATGCACTTTGTGATTAATCACCTCTTCCACTAATGGCTGTTCTTAAGACACCCTCATCAGGTTAGGAAATGGAAGTTGTTGCGCTTCCACTGCTCTCCATTCCGTTGTAAATTTGGTTATTTTGCGCAGCTGGAGATAGAGGTTGCAACTTCACATTTCTTGTCTTCTGAATGTAGCCTCAGGTTTCCTGTTTCACAGGCGTTGAGCTCTGTCACTCAACAGCCTGATCGGAACATCTTGTCATACGCAGTCTTTGCTTTGGCATGGAGGGAAGCAGATCAGAAACTTTGGCGGCCGAAGTGAGTGAGGAAATAATTTATACCTCTGTCAAATTCTCTCAGACTCCACCGCCAAGGGCCAGAGCTGGACGGGAAAGGAGAGGTAAGGAAGCTGGATGAGGTAGGTCAACAAAAGATTTTATTTCAAGGAAAAGCAAGTTCTAACAAAAACACTCTGAGCTGGCCACTGTCTTCGCTTACCAGCTCATGGTGCTGTTGCTTTTGTTCTAAAATTACCATGAGTATTTTACTGTGATAAAAGCCAATGGGTCAGAGACGCAGCATTGTTCCCCTCCCTCTCTCTGTCAGACCCCTTTCGGTGTTTACTCCTGGGCATTCAACCCAGGCATCCTTTTCTCTGAAAGAGGTTTGCAGATTTAAAGTCATCTGCTTGTCAGCAATAAGAGATTGTCGGCAATAGTTCTTTGAAGGGCAGGCGAGATGAGAGTACAGATAAATTAGAGGCGTATGCTAATCAGAGATCAGAGACAGAGGAGGCATATGAGATCATCCAGTCTCTCTCTCCCGTGGGGCTCTGCAGGATTCTTTTGTGATACATTTTTTCCTGTGTTTTCTCTGTTCTAGTTTTACATACCTCCCAGTGAGGAAATTTTCAGCTTTTGCCTTGGGACAGTTCTGCAGGGCATTTTACCACCAGGAAGATTTTCTTAGCGCTTTCCTTAAATTTTCTCTTCCCTTATTTCCGCTCCATTCTCCCTGTTCAGGCCTTGCAAATGTCACACGGAGCAATTTCTCTGGCTGCTTAGTTGAGAAATACCACCTTAGAAGAGTGAGATTTTGCACTGATGATCATTCTTTATAGGCCACTCCTTCCCATGAGCTGATTGCTTTTCCTCTAAATGCCTGTGTGCTTTAGATGAGTTGTGTTGTGCTGGCTGCAGCGCTAATGGTTGGCCTTAGCTTTTTTTCAGAGCTGTTACGGTAAAGGGGGCTCTCGCTCTGGGATACAAGATTTCTGTGCCCCCATCAGAATAATTGCATACATCTGTGGTTGTTGCTGGTGCCCGGCCACTTGCTGCACTATGGCAACAGAGACAGCACAGAACCCCCCAGGTTCCTGTCTGGTAATCACACTCCATCTACTTGGAAGGCAGTCTTGCTTTTGCATGTGTTTTCATCAGAAATGATGTTTTCTGCTGCATCAAAAAGCACAGGGACATCCCTTCATTCCCTGCCATTTGTGTTACTCCCACCCTGTTGGAGGTGGAGATTACCCGATGCCTTCTTGAGATGTCTGCAGTTTTAATATTCCTCTTCTCCAAATTCCTTTATGTACCCTCACCTTTTTGAGCTGAAGTCAGAGGGCCTTAAATAAGGAAGCTGCTCTTTGAACACACTTTCTGTGCATATTATTTGATTATTTCCTGGCTCTCCTCTGCGTGTGAGGAGTCTCTAAGGAGCGCAGTTTAAATACCTTTCTTTAGAAGATCTTTATTTTCAACTCTGTCCCTGCCTTCATCGCTTTTGAGGGATGTGCTCTCAGGTATTTCCTCTCTGTTTTCAAATGCACGTCCCTGCTACCAAGTCATCCCTGTGATGCAGTGTCACAGGTATAACACAGGTGTATAAATCAGTCTTCTGGTCAAACCAACTGGTTCTGTCTCTCATGGACTCCTTGAAAATGAAGAGTTGCCCTGGCTGTCTTGTTTGGCTTCCAGAAAGCCTTAGATATGCCACGCTACCAAAATGTCAGTCCAGCAGTCACTTAAGACAGCATTAGCCTGTGTGGCATGCTTGTAGTAACAGCGATAACCAGGTTTGTGCCACAGCCAAGGACAGGATCCTCGTTTCTCAAATCCTCCTCCCTGGCCCTAGGTAGTCATGCTGCTCCCATACTGACGTAGGCAGGAGCTGAGGGGAGCTATCTGGGACAGCGCAATGACATTCTTCAGACTGCCCTAGAAGACTTGAATTATAAAATGCTAACAGCTTTCAGTTTTTGAACTGAATCTGGGCTCCCAAACTTAAAAATACTGGGTCATGTTGCTTGCAGATGAATGCAGCATATCACAGTCATTTCTCCAGAGCACTGCCAGACCTAACTGGGTGTTTTGTATACTAGAAACTTATAACATTGGGTATTTACATTAAATGTCCACTAGTCCACTTCCCCCTTCCCTTGGGGAGAGTCTTCCACAGTTCCTCAGACAGCTACATGGAAATATTTCTAGGTGCTCCGTTCAGATTTCCCTCCTTGGTTTCAAACTCTTCCCAGGTACTTCTCCCTTCCTCTTCTACAAGATCTTTACATGTGTTCCAGTGGCTGAGGATCAAGCACAACCCCCCAAACCTGTATTAAAAAGGCGGAACTGCAGGGAATCCCTCTTGCAAGGGGTAAAAATACGGATTTATGAATTTTTTTATTCCACTTTCCTGGGTTGATCATTGCAGTTCAAGTGAGGCTTAAATTCACCTTGAATGCTTCAATATAACTTGCCCTCTTCACTCCCTTTTTTCCTCCCATACTTTTTAATTTTTAAGTGAACTCTCCCACTGCTCTGGTTGTGGAGGTGCCCTGGGATTTTGTTTTGATGCTGAGTCGAGTCAATTCCGTTTTTCTGCAGTTGGTTTGAAACAATGGAGGGTGAACTGCTCTATTCATTACCAGGAGACACAACCAAAAAAAGCTTGACCCAGCTGAAAATAGGAGCATTGGTGAAGGTGGTTAGTACAAAGGCACCAACTGGGATGCCCGGTGTTGACATTTAAGGATTAACTGTTTGACTGACTGTCATCCCAGTTGCCTTGTCCTGGAAGTAGTTTTCCCTAAAGTATGGAACAGTGACATGGAGGATGCAGGAGATAGATAGCTTCTTTCAGAGGCAAGAGAGGAAGGAAAACAGAAGTGCAAATCCTCAGAAATGTGGCCTCAGAACAAAGAATGATATTTCAACAGACATTTATCCCCTTTTACTTAGTTTTCAGTTTTAATCTGCAGAGAAGAAGCTCCACCCTACACGTTAGCCTCTGGCTGACTCCATTCTCTTGGGGCTTAACCTGATGGCAAAACCCACATCACCACAGACACAAAGGCAGCCTTACAAGAGGAGTAGACAGCAGACAGAGAGAAGAGCTACTCAGTTCAAGTCCTTCAGTTCTCCCATTGTCTTCTTCTGTGAAGCTGAGGAGTAGGTTGCAACTGAAGTCTTTCTGTGTTTTGTAACTGAGAAGAGATGGGGTTTTGTTCTTTAATAACGATTTAAAAATAAATAATTGTTGGTATTTTTTAACCACAATGGGGTAGCTAGAAGATCCTGCAGGCTTCAGGAAACACAACAAAACCTTTACCTTAGGAAAGATCTTTCTACCAGAAGAATGATGCATACAATGAAGCTCCCTCACGCTCACCCTTGTTACCTTAGAAAATTCTTCTAGCCAAAACCACAGGTCTAAATATACTGCTATAAACTAGAAACTGGTCTTAAAACCAGTGAGCCTGCAAACTTCTCTAAGATCAAAATAAATTATTTTTTCTAGCTTATTGATTTGGTCTACTTTCTGTATTTGGGCAAAGGATGCATTCTTGGTTTTGAGTGAAGTCCTTTCCCCTTCTGTTTTAGCACTGGCTTTTTTTGTCCTTCCCACAATATTCATGATACGTGATGTGCATTTGTTTTCAGCCTTCACTGAAAGATCCTAAAAAAAGTCTCCCCTACTGCTTACAAATATTTTTTTTTTGGCCATCCCTTTAAATTTTTCTCTGACAAAGATCCTTGTTTTCCTGTAGTTTCCCATTTTGAAATTATTATACCACAGTGCCTTTTGTTGTTGTTGTTGGTGGTGGTGACTTTTGACTCTGTTGAATCTCAGTGCATTTGTGTTCACTGCAGCAGAGAAGCTGCTGGATGGAGCCATGGTGAGCCGGGTGGCCTGAGCATGGCTCAGGGAAGTCACGAGCTGCTTTGCTTTCTGTGTTTCCCAGTTCACCGCTCTGCAAGGTGCCTATTGACGGTGTCTATAAGCATTCAGTCTCAGCATCATGTCCTCACATGGCATTTGCTTAATTTAATGCGATTAGTTGATGCCTGTTGTTGTCACCTTGCTTCCTCCATGGTTGCTCTGGCTCTTTTTGCCAGCTCACGAGTGCTGTCGGCATCCTTGTCTGGCATATAATTCCAACCCAATGCATTTAGTAGGAGTTGCTTGATCTGCAGGGTTGCTGTTACTGTTGCCTCTTGATGCAGTTAGTTATTTAACCTAATTTAACTGTAATTTTACTTGAGCAGAGAATAGCCCCCTCTGTCTTCCTTGTGTATTTTGTATCCTGTCACTATGACATCCTACTCACAGCCCTTCTTCTACCAAGTTTTCCATGTACTTGCTGTGGTAGTGTCTTTGGTTAAAGCTAGCCGCCTTCTCCCTCCATCTTACTCCTTAGACTCCTAGCCTTTTCAGGGGCTACAGAAATGTTTCTTTGGGTCCTGTGATACGACCGAGAGAGAATCACCTCAGATTTCATGGGCTCCACCAGGGACTTTGCCACTGGATTTGGGTAGAAGACTCCGGAGCACCACAAGAGCAAGATGTGGTACATAAGCTCAAGGGAGAAGCACAGGGAAATCTGGGGTTCTTCAACATTGGTAACCATTAGCTGCATATTTAGTGCTTCTTAGAAAGTTCTATTGTCTATGCAGCTGTCATACTGAGATTAATAAAACAGGCAAACCAACCCCCCTGGAGCTCATCCATGGCCATAAGTGTCATCCTCTCCTCAGCCTGGGACAGAGGAGATTTTAGTGCTGAGATTTCAACAACTTACGGAAATTGAATGCCTCTCTCCAGGAGGTGACAGGTGTAGCCTGGAGGCTAACGGGTTGTGCTGTACATGAACAGATCTCTACATGGCAGTCCTGCCCCACCCTTTGAAAGGAAGCTGTGCTGAGCTGCGGTGGAGGCTGCCCCAAAGAGTCACCCTCTGCCACTGGCAGCAAGTGAACAGCGGATGGTGGTGGTGGAAGTGTGGAGGGGCATCCCAAGGTCTTCAAGGCTGGCCCTCTCATCTTGCCACCCTGCCATCGGAGAGGCGGATGAGGGCGTAGGACTGACTTGGGAGCGTCCTGGAAAGATGTAACACGACTGCCTGTCTCAGCCGGTGAACAGGATGCTGAGGTTAAACCTGTTGCTGTTGCTGAGAGAGCTGGAGGAAAAGCCTTGGGTTTCTTTTTGCATTTAAGCTGGAACATGGTGTCTGCAGCAGTGCAGCTCTGTGTTTCCACCCCTAGCTTCAATGTCAAGGCAGGAGCGGGTTTGCTGGGAGGCTTCTGCCAGCAGGAGGTACCACATGGTGCCTGGGGGCTCCAGCTGACTTGGGGTGGGTGCTGCTTCTCCTGGGGTCGGCCACCTGAGGGGCTGGGCCAGCCAGCTCTGTGGCCCTGCAGGGGCAGAGCTGTGGCTGACCTGGAGACAGATACACTTCCTGGGAAGCACAGGCAGGGACTGATGGCTCTGGCCTGCGCTGAAATGGGGCCTTGGACTGGTGGGCAGGGGCACGGGGAGGACCTGGGGAGGCTGGGCAGGGACAGTGGTGGCATCGATCTGCAGAGTGTAGACAGACAGGGATGCTCTAAATAATTCAGTTCCTTATGGAAATGCCCAGGACACAAGCAAACTACGTAAAACCACTGTCAGTTTTCACATGGCTCCTGTTTCTTTTCTCTTTTACAGCTCCCTGTCTGTGGCCAGCTGTTGTGCCAGGCTTGGCTATAGGCTTTGGGATACTGAGCATCGCCCTAGCAACTGCTTTGATTTGGAACATGAGTAAGTGGACAAAGGGGTGCTGAGGATGAGCAACAACAACAAAGGACCAGCAACTCATCCAAGCGCAGGAGCTCAGATCCTGAACTCCGTTATATGGGGTTAAACCAGAAGCTGTTCTAGGTTTCTACCACCCTTAAGTACCCACTGCCTATCCAGAATATTTTGAAGAATATATTCCTTGTGCACACCCAGGCAACCGACTTCAGATCCTGTGCCAAAGAGCAGTGAAAGTATTGAAAGGTTTTTGTAGACTTGTCTGCTGTAATTATAGTGGTAAACTGTAGAACAAATATAGAAGGTCTCTAACACTTCCGCATGTGTGCAGAAGGTGCTAGACCATGTGGGAGAGCCTACTGTTTACTGCTTATAATCCGTTTACCTGATGTGTGACCCAATCACACCATACCCACAGAATGATGTAATTTTTTCCCTTAGTTTTTATGCACCCAGAATGTCAGCTGCCTTCAGATAGCCAGTTTTGGTTCTCAGGTATCTGAGTAGTTCAGAGGAAACCCCGGGGGGCCGGGGGGGTGTGTGGCGCTGGGGGACAGGTTGCACCAGCATCAGAGTGCGTGTGACTCTTATATGAAGATTTGGAAATTGCACAGAGGATCTGAAGTTCAGTGGTCATGCATTGTTATTTTTAGATGCTTATCCTGACTTGTGTTTTCTGCGTTGCAACTATCCAGAAGAGTTGTTTTTCAGCAGGTCCTTGCTGACAAGTGTCTTTCAGCTGGTTAATGGCAGAGAAAAGCTGGTATTTTGACTCCTTTACAGGTGGCTCCCACCCACGCTGCCCTGAGCAGTGGATAGCCTACAGAGGGAGCTGCTACTCCTTCTCCAAGGAGAAGAAGGACTGGCATTCCAGCCAGGAATCCTGCTTGGCACAAGGAGCTCATCTCCTGGTCATCAGTGATACCAGCGAAATGGTAATGGTTTTCTTATTCTTTGAGGATCTGCCATTTCCTTGCAGATATCTCAGTGACTGACATCCAAGCAGTGCTGTCACTCGAGCAATATTTTGACTTTGAAGGAGAGGAAGGATTTATGGCTGCGATGTTATAGTGCGCTTCCAGTTTCAGAATGCACTTTAACAGTTCCCAGCAGGCAAACAAGCAAAGGCGAGAAGGGAGGGGTGAGGGTGACTGTCAGCTACTCAGAATTATCCTAGGAAGGATGTTACGAGATAGTCTTCTCCATTGCCCCTGTCAACCTCCCCTCCTAGCCCCAACAAGGCTCATATGAATGATTACAGGAAAAGACTGTGGCACTGTGCAGTCTGTGCTCTTTGCCTACAAACCAGTATGTCCCCACACTTCAGGAATGCTTCCTTTGCAAAAGCGATGCCTCTCCTCCCTGCAACCACTCCAGCTCCTCCTGCTCAGTGACCCTTGCCTGTGTTTGTGCATGGTTGTGCATGGCTATTTCTTTTTCAGTCTGTTTTCAATGCTTACTTCCTCTCTCTGCCAAAAAAACTCAGTTGTGCTGATGAAATCATAAACCATCTGTTCCACTGCTCATTTTCCAGCAGGTGCTCGCCAGGGGTGGGGGAATGTATGACCACTAAAGAAATGGGTAGAGCTGGTCACTAGGGCGGGTGAGGCATGCCTGCATAAGTAGAGCAGAAGTACTTGATCTGGTTTTGCACAAGCCAGGGCTTATTAGCTCAGGTCCAATGAACGTGGACAGCTTCCAGTCCCTGGACAGAAGTTGCATTGTATGATGTTCTGTGGGGGCTTACAAAGCCAGGTCTCTGCTTGACTGGGAGTATGTACTGGGCTCTCACACTTTCTCCTTGAGAAAAATACTCATCTTCCCCAGATTGCCCATTTCTCAGTGTGAAGAGAGCCTTCCTGGTCTGTCTGCTTTCTTACTATTATCTCTGCTACCAGAGCGTTACCCATTATCCCTGCTCAGACTTCCCCATGTAAGCAAGGCTTTCCTAGCTATCTGTGCCCTATGGTGCAAAGGCTGTGGCCGTGCAACCTCCGTTTGCCAGGGAAGCACAGTCATCTCCAAGCCACCAGCAACACTCAAGCGTTCCTCAAGCTACTCCTATTCCCACCACTTTACCAAGTCAGCTTTGTTAATGCTTCTGTGTGAAGATGTCTGCTCTGAAGCTTTGTGTAATGCAGCAGGAGGTAAGAATGGGGCCCAGCCATACCACTGAAAGGTTGCTGTTGTTGGCTTTCATTGCAAATGTGGACAAGACAAACTTCTCTCCCATCGTTGACTTGGTGGGGGGGGTGGGGTGGGGTTGGAGGGGGTTTACTTCAGGGCTGAGCTTCTATTGCAGGCTTCACCTTTTAACAGTAGACAGAAGTTAAAGGTTAGGCAAAAGGAAACGAACATTGAAAACACGTAGGAGGAAAGTTTTTATAAAATTTAGTGAGTTTTGGTCCTGGGCTCTTTACACAAACCTGCCGGTGCCTGCACTTCCTGCCCTGACCTGATTTTACCCTTAATTGTTAATATTTTGTATTAGCTTGCTAGCTAGATGTATGCTAGAGCATTAATATTAATACTAATCACATACATTTCTACATAAAGCTCTGTGTAGGAAACTTCAGGAGACTGGGGTGCACTTGGTTCACCTACATTGCCCTGAGAGATGTCCTTTGAAGAATCTGCCCAGGACCCTTGAAAGCACGCTTACTCCCTTGTGAGGGTACATGTAGCTATTATTCCAGGCGTGATCTGCAGGGCTGATCTTCCTGATCAGAAAGTGTGGAGAAACAGTATTGTTAGTCAGGCAAGGGGGTGTATCTTTCCCTCTTTCTCTTTACTTATCCTTACCTCCATTTTCAGGCTGTCTGCCATTAGTCACTTTGTAATTCATCACCATTTCTAGGACCTGTTCAAGAGTATTCAAACTGGATATTTCTGGATTGGACTGAGTAACAGCACAGGCTCTGGCTGGATTTGGGAAGATGGCTCTATATTCAGTGGTACCAAGTGAGTTTCATGCTGTTTTAAAAACAACGGTGCTAATTCAGATTGCCTGGTGTTCTACAACACCCAGAGTTCCTGCAGCAGATCTCAGGAGTTTTCTTCCTGGACAGATTTTCTTCTTACTTTCATGTGTACGGCACTGAACTCATAAGGGTCTACTTTTTACTGCCCTGCACCTCGTGAAGGTGTGTACCTGCAAAAAGCAGGGCTAGTGTTAGTACCTCACTCTCTACTTCCCTCCAGCTACTTAGACCAAGGATTATTTACCTGCACTGCCCATGCAGTTGCTCAGTCAGAAAAACCTATGGTCCAATCTTGCCTTTACTGGGTTTAGCCACCTTGCACCCGTTCTGCCAAGTGCTGTTGTCACTGGGTGCAAGAATCTAGCCCTTTGCTGCTTCACTGGTGCCAACCCAAGTCAGAACCTTAATTTTGGCTCAGTATTTACTTGGACAAAACTCAGCATTCTGCATGAGGGAAAATATCATTATTTGGTCCAGTGACTTTGCTTGGCCCTTTCCTTTTTATGGCAGCTAACACAAATGAGTTAGTCTCTAAGGCTTCTCCAGCAAGGAAACTCACACAAGATCTCGCTGTTGGTAGAACAGTACTCTTAAGCACTTGTCTTAGTTCCCTTCTTAAATCCAGCTTTCTGTTCTTACAAACTCCTTGGAGGTGATCATCTTTCCATGAAACTGTCAGCACTGCCATTCTCATGCTGGTGGATATCAATGTTACTGCAGGACAGTTCTGATTTGGGTTGCACAATGGCAAAATTACTTAGATGTGTAATCTTCAGGTAGATAGGTATTTTGGTTTTGTTTTCTAACACCTGCCCTTTGGAGGTTAGGTTCTTTCACTTCCCCTGGGCTCCACCCTTCAAAATCAGGTGTTTTTTCTTTCTTGCCACCAGGAGACAATCTCAGCATTTTCCCTCAGTCTCACTTTTGTTCCGTGTCTCTTGCAGGATCCTCTCTAACAGCCCTGTGCAACGGTGTGCTGTCCTGATGAAAGATAATTTTCAGGCCTCCAGCTGTGAATTTTCTGCTCCGTGGATCTGTGAGAAATCTCTTAGATAATAAATTAACCATCTCATCAGTAGTACAAGTGGATCATTGTCCTGCAAACAAAGGTGTTTTGCAGGGACAGGTTTGTTGCCCATAAGGGTGAGATACCCTCTGTATCGGATCCATTCTCCGTCCATGTCTGTTGGATTACTGCTGTTTGTGACCACATGAGACACGGGACATATACCCCACCCTAGTCTTTCCTTATTTGTCCTATAGGGGCAAACAAAAGTTTTGTCACAACAGATGCTGGGTCTTCAGATACCTGAGGGTGTGCTGGCCATTTTCCTCCATTCCTGAGCATCAGATTTGATTTCCATTCCCTGCATCTCCACTGATTGGTGCCAGGAGGACTGGGAAAACGCTGTTCACTGCTAGAAACATATGAACAGGCTCCTCCCAGCAGCAGCCTCTCCTTTTGCACTCAGTGCTATGAGTGGGAGAGAAGAGGGTGAAATGAGACTACAGCTTCTGTAAATCCAGCAGTGAAAATAAACCTCCAGTACTGCACTGGACCAAACGCATGCATTCATGTCATTACTTCTCTCTGCTGGAAGGAACCAGCTGCATGCCATGTTTTATAGGCCAACTTCAACCAAACTGGTCAAGAGGCTAGACTTCTGAAGTCAAAGGAATGCAGTTCATTGTGTGTTATTATTGATCAGCCAGGAATGTGTTTCCCTCCTGTTGTCAGCAGGTTGAGGGAGCTGATCCTTCCCCGCTGCTCAGCTCTGGTGAGGCCACACCTGGAGTACCGTGTCCTCAGTACAAAAGAGACACGGGCATACTGGGGAGTCCAATGAAGGGCTGCAAAGATGATGAAAGGACTGGAGCATCTCACATATGAGGAAAGGTTGAGACAGCTGGGATGGTTTATCCTAGAGAAGAGAAGGCTGAGTGGAGATCTTATTAATGTATATATATCATATATGTATATATGAAAGTAAAGAACTGGGCACCATGGTGCATGGCAGGGGAGGCCTAGGGAGAAACTAATTGATCCAAACACTGGAGTTTTAATCTGAAAATGCTAGATCAGGGGGTTCACAAGGAGGATTACAAATTGGAAGTGATTGTTTTTGGGATTGATAGTGCTGTGCCACATGTAAATAAGGGCTACGAACAACTGTGAAATCACAGAGAGAACAGAAAACAGAAAACAACCCCAGATCTTGTATTCAAAAAGAAAATTGCTGTTTTCCCCACAGCAATTTTCTTTTCAAATAATTGAAATTGTCCTTGCATCACCTGGTTGAAAGAAGCAACTTAATGTAGTTTTGACCAATCCAGTTGCAACAAAATGGCAAATTCCTCACGCTGCCATTTACAGAATGCCTTCAGTTGCGTACCCCTGCTGCGTGAGGCTTGGCATTCATAGAGGATGCAGCACATGACGGAATCAGGGCAGATGAAGACAAAAATACAGACCTTAGCATACCCAGGTAAGTAGATATCTGCTGAGCCTTATATAGAGTTCACTGAGCTGAGGGGCTTAAGGTGGGAATGTTGCCAGCAATGGTAAGTCTGCTTTTCGATCACCATGTGTCGTGGTTTAACCCCAGCAGGCAGCTAAGCACCACACCATGCCTGTAACAGTCAGACCTGGGGAAACTGCTAGAAAAACATGGTATTTGAAGCAGTGTCCTACCTTGCATTTTCATCTCAGGTTGTCTGCGTTACTTTGGGTGAGTCATTTGTCTGTGCCAGGGTCCATTCAACATCAAAAGAAGATGCTGTCCCTCACTCACAGGAAGTGGCCAGGCCCTAAGAAATAATGCTGGAGATTTTGCCTGCTTTGTCAAAATGGTGGTAGCATCTACAGAAGGAAACCTAGCATTTACTTTACCAGAGAACCCTAGTGAAGAAACAGCTTCTCATGTTATCATGATGGATGTAGGTGAGGTGAGCATGTCTCTGAGCTTGCCTAGTTTACCTTGTTAGTGCAACAGCTTTACCTCTCCTAGGATTTTACAGTGCAGTGCATGCTAGACTATTTTACTGATGAGCTCTTCAAACATGGCCTCTCAATCTCATCCGAAAGAGATGCTCAGGAGATGTAAAATAAATACATATGTTAGGTTGCCTCAAAAGTTGACTGTTTTTTGAAGGGCAAGGATTTTCAGCTGTGGATTTTACTTTTAACGATTCATGTGGCTCCTCTGTGGGTTCAAGTTTTCACAATGCTAACAGGATCTGAAGCAAGTACATTCATTTCCATGAAAAACAGTTGAACAAATACCTTTGGCAGAGCTTTTAATCTTCTATTTAGAACATGTTGATATAGTTGATTGATATATACTAATTTTCTTGGAAATAAGTTCTTAGATGAACTCTGTAAGCGGTGATGGATGAATACTGAAGGCACATGGTTAGCAGATCGAGGTAAGTTACTATCCTCATTCTCCATGGCATTTCTGAGGCTGCACTTGGACTGTGTCTGGTCTGCTGACCCCCAGTTCAAGAGGAACACGGAGAAACTGGAGAAGGTCCAATGGAGGACTGCCAAACTGGTCAGAGTTTGGGGCATATGATCCACAGGGAGTGACAGGGAGCTGGGCTTGTTCTGACCAAGAGGAGGTGGGACTGATTAAATAGGTGCCTACAGATACTTGAAAGGCAGTTACAAGGATGTTGGAACATGACCTTTCTTGCTAGAGGCAGAAGATACAACAGGGGGCAATGGCTGCAACTGCAGCTTGGGGAGTTCCGATTGGACATGAGGAAAGACGTTTTCACCAGAGATTAGTGCAACACTGGAACAGGTCACTGGAGAAATGGTAGGTTCTCCATCCTTGGAAGTTTTCAAGATTTGACTTGACAAAGTCACAGCTGACCTGATCTAACCTTGGCAACAGTCCGGCTTTAAGTGAAAGGATGGACTGGATAACTTCCAGAGCTCCCTTCCAACCAGCTCTTCTGTGATGCTACCAATGACCACAGTGGGATTCTTGGTTCAGATACAGGGTACTCAATGCTCTTTTTGCACAATTGGGGCACCTGTCCCTTTGAGCTATGCCAAATGACAGAACTTCAGATTCACTGACAGACATCCAGGAAAGATATACCTAAAACACACTCTCCTCATGGACAGGCCAACTCCTTGAAGGAGTTTTCTTGGGGAGCTTAGAGGTAACCACTTAAAATCTAGTCAAAATACTCTAGAGAGCCTGTGGCCTTCTCAGCTGTACTCACAGCAGATAGAAATGGCAGGAAAGGGAAAACTCATTGCCACTGCCTTGCCTGTGCCACCACCTACCAGCCGAATCACATGGGCCATGCAGAGACCCTTGAAATTAGGCTGCTGGGGCCCAAGTTGCTCTTGGTAATGGGATGGAGGCCAAGCAGCTTGAGGGCAGATTTTGAAAGTCAGTTCGGTACCTGTGCATGTTGATTGGTACCTACTGGGTTTCTCAAGCCTTTAAAATCTTGCCCCCTTCAATTGACTGAAAGCATTTCTCTTCAGTTTTTGGCTACACAGCACATTTTTGCCCAAGGTCCTAATGATTGGGAGCTGGCTTGTGAGTGTTGTGAGCTGTTTGGCTATTTGCCAAAAGTGTAGCCCTGGTTTCCTCTGCTGTGTGCAGATCTACACCTCCTTCCTGTAAGGTTTGTCTTCAGTCAGTTTGGCTCCTGACCTGTTCGAACCAATGCGAAGTGTCATCTTCAAAAAGGCTTTGACCACCCCATGTACAAATCCTCTTCTTTGCGGGTGAGGCAGATCTTCCTGGGCTACATGTCTTTTGGGCGGGTAGAGCAACCTTTAGGCATCAGATGGAGAAGGCAGGGCAGAAGCCTGGGCTGCGTTTCTTTTGTGCAGTCCCCGGTGAAGTCGGATGGGCACTACTATTCTCTCCTTTCCCATGCAGGTGACTGCAGGGTGGAATGAGGTCTCTAATGAAGGTTTGTGATCTCATTGCACTTGGATTTCTTAATGATGATGATGATGATAGTAAGAGAGGGGAAGGACAGACAGATAATCATTTTGTCCTGCACCCTTTTAAATCTGAAAATTATGCTTTACATCCTTTAACACAGATCTCCATTCTTTGGAGTTTGGGTTAGGACTGTAAGACAGACAGATACTCTACTGCCACTTGCAAGGGTAATAATTACCAGAGCTATTGATCCTTCTGCTGCAGATCAAGTTAACTACAGTACAGGCAATGGTCAAAAGAAATTTCCCTCTATGATGCAACACTGTGGATTTTCACATAATGAAACCAAGAAGGGCTCCGTCAAACAGCAAGAATTTGATCTAGATGGACCAATAACTTGATCTGGAACAAGAACCAGCACAGGCAAAGCAAGACCCAGGCCACGTCTGTTCTGCTGTGTGAGGGCAACTGCTGCTCTGGGGAACTGGTTAATGTGTTACATGCTGTTAATGGGTTGAACTTTTGGCAGCTTCCCATCATGTCACTGTCCCTGTTTTTGTCAGGGTGAAGGTCAGATTATCTTAGATGGCTTTGATTGTCCAGGCATTCTCTGGCCCCTTTTCCTGGCATCAGCCCTGGTGGCACCAGGAATGGAGAGCACAAGAGAGCGGGGCAGGTGGAGGGGGAAGGTTTTCAGTGTTTGCATTCCCCTTTTACAGACCCTGCCCGTAAGCAGGGGTTAGGCACACCCACGCTCGTTTCCCAAGCCCTGGCTCAATCTCCTGCTCCCAGTTTGAAGGAAAAGGAACTGCTCCTGCACCTCCAGCAGCCTCCATGACCAGCGCCGTGGCTAGCTCCATGCAGAGAGCCCTGCTGGAAATGAAGGCCTTCCCCTCACCCTTTCCTGTTAGCCCTTCTTTCCTTTAGCTACCACCTTCATTGCCTGCTGCCCTGCCCCAAAAGAGGGACAGCTCCAGCCTGCTGGGCACCCTCCCCTCCCTCTCCCCCCAGTGCCTGGCCTTCTGCCCGGACTCAGAGCTACTGGTTCCAGCTCCTCCTTACTGCCTCTCCCCATTTCCCGATGGGCCCTGGCCCCCAGCCCTTATCTCCTCCGGCCCATGGGCTGTTTGCAGAGGAGAGTATAAAGGGGTTGACTCCGAGAGCGGAGCGTGAATACCTCAAGCAGCACCGGACCAGGCTGGGTGTCTGCTTCACTCATCACATCCTGCTGTGCACCATGGGGAAGGACAGGCTGCTCATCAAACCAACCATCTTCCTTCTTCTCCTCTTCTTCCTCCCTGCAGACACCTCACCTGCTGCAGAGCCGTAAGCTACACAGGAGGGGGGGTGTCTGTGGGCAGGCAGGAGACCTGGGTTATATCCCTGTGTCTGTTGCTTTGTCTCTTGTCTTCTGCCTACTTTCTTTTATACAGGAATAAAAGACACCAGGGCTGGGTACAGTGTCTTCTACAAACAGCAACTTCAGTGCTTCAGGGGGACCCAAAACAGTCTGTGAAACTGGCACATCAGTGAAACTTCAGAGAAAAAAAAAGAAAAAAGAAAAAAGAGGAAAGGTCTATGAGAATACCTTTTGCTGCTCCAGAGAATTGACAGCATTTCAACAAAATTTTCTGCACAAAATTTGTTCTTTACCAATTTACCTTTTAAGGCAACTTTTTGTAACTATTTGCACATTCAGTTTTTCTTAAGAGACAGACTTTTTTGAAAAGACAATGAAAGGTTGAATTTTGGGTTGCCTACCCTACTCCCAAGTTGAAATGCCCAGGACATGGGAGCGTTTTTTTCATTGATAATGAGGAAAAAAGGAACAAATAGCAGATCTGGAATGGCCAGAAATGGCTTTATTTTTTAATTCAGATTTTTCAGCTCAGCCAATGGAATAAAAATTCCCTTCTCAGCCAGAGTTATGTGGCACTGTAAGACTGTGACTGTTAAGGTCTATGAGGGTATATTATGCTGAATCCCTTCTTCACCCCCTTTTGTCCTGTGTGTATGTGAAGGGGGTGTGTGTTGTGTGCATACGTGTATGTGTATGGCAGCAGCAGGGCATGAGGGGTCCTGGCATCCCAGAGATTTTCTTCTTTGGCTTTTTGGTATGTCTTCTCCTCAGCAGAGCAAGGCTGTGCATTTTTATCACATGCAAGGTAAGCAGATGGCAGGGTTGGGATCTGAGGGGGCCAGAGCTTTCTCCCTGCAGACCAACTGATGGATATAAAGGTGCCAGAGCCTCCCCTGCCACTAAAGGCAATGCCCTACCTTACCGCTGAGGTTTCAAGGGCTCTTTCCCCAGCTGCTCGCTGCTCTGGGGATGCCTGTCAGAGGCCAGTCCTCACCCGCCCAAAGGGCAGCACTGTTGCCATTGGGTGCGTCAGGTTTGACTCCCAGATGCAGTGGTGGGCACTGGGGAACTGCTGGCACGTTGCTCCATGGGGAGGGAGGCTGTGCATGGCCTGGCAGAGCCCCCCTGCTCAGGCTGAGCCAGAGGGGCTTGCTTCCCTGAAAAACTGAAATTTGCTGCAGTGTTTTTTGCTTAAGATCTGGCACCACGCTGTGGCAGTTTTGGATCTCTGCGAGGAATGAGAGTGGTGCTACAGATGGTTTGCAGGTTGTAGTCAATGGCATTTTTTCACTAGGTACTAGCACTTGTGTGGCTCCTGAATCCTACTAACAGTGTCCAGCAAAGGGGACAATCGACTTTTCCCTACTGGCATTATTCAGGGTCCCAGGAGGAAGTGCTGCTGTTGTGCCAGAACCTGGAAAAACATATCCCTTCCAGCTGTTTGCACTGAGAATTTCCTGTGGTATTTTGCTTTTGAGACCAGCCTCTCTGCTTTCCCCTGCTGTTACAGACATGCTGAAAATCTTGTTGCGCTCCTAGAAAATGCATCTCTCTCCCTGTACAGTGTCTTACCTGTTCCTCCTCCTCTGACCTGTCCTTCTCCCCTGTTCCTAGGCAGTATATGGTACTACTGCCCTATCTGATACACACCGATTCTCCTGAGAAAGTCTGTGTCCAGCTGACCCACCTGAATGAGTCTGTGACGCTGAGTGCCACACTTGAGTACCAAGGGGAAAACAGGAGCTTGATTGATGATGTGGTGTCGGAGAGGGACGTGTTCACCTGCATCCCTTTCTCTGTGAGTATTTCATTCCTGTGGGATGATCCCTTGTGCCAGGGATAAACTGTAAGGGCACTGAGTAGTAATGAACAGAGAAACACTCTGTAGGTATTCACTTTACCTCTTGGCCAAAGGTACATTCATGTCCATCCTCAACACCCTGTCACTGCTGAGATCTCCTTAGCATGCTACCTGAATGGGAAATACTGAACTGGAAAGCCAACCCCTCTATGACAGAAGAGGCCAGGAGAAAGAAGAGGTTTTAGTATTGATGCTCCTGATGGCTGTTTGGCGAACAGCTTCTTCAGGTGGCTCTCCACATTATCCTTCAACAGCCACAAATTGTCACTTGAGTGCCTTCAAATTGGGGTAGACCTCAGACAGTTTTTGCCTTGTGGATATAGTACACTGAATTAATGTAAGAACATAGATTTGTGATTGCCTCTGTCTGAAATAGAGAATGAAGCAGGAAATTCATAGCTTAATGTAATTGATAGCCCCAGGGACTATAACAAGTCATAGGCAACCAGGAAGGTTGGTCGTCTGGCTCAGAGCACAGATTATGTCTTTGGCCTGAAGGCTGAAGAACTGGCCTTCAGGACCTGAACAGGTTGAGATCCATGTCTGGGTTTGTCAGGTATAGGCTGAAGAAAGAATTTTGTCACTTGGAGAGAGATGTATAGAGATTTGGCATGTCTGGTTTGGAAAAGGAAATGTTGTGCAAGGACTAGGGATGTTATCTGAACGAGAAGGAAGATTATTCCATTGCCCCTGTGAATGATAAAAGGAAAAGGACAGAAAGGCTTTGGTCTGGGCAGCAAGAATTTCTTAAAATGAGGTGGCAGAGCTTGGACTTCCTTTGCTGCACAATACTTGCACAATCACTGCACAGCAGTAGGAATGAGTAGGAATATAGGACAAGTAAAGATCAGTCTCTTGTTCCTGACTATAGTTTTCCTCACCTCTCTGTTGTGTCCATCAGGACTATATTAGAGCTCTTATTTCATGAAGGCCAGTTAAGTCCAGCAAGCCTTTAAAGGTGATCCGTAACATAGCTGCCTTCTTACTCTCCAGGTTCCAAAATTGAGTAGCCAGTCGCCAGTCACATTTGTCACTGTGACAGTGAAGGGGGCAACACTGCAGTTCAGGAGCCGCAAGTCGGTGCTGGTCAAGAATTATGAGAGCTTGGTCTTTGTCCAGACAGACAAACCCATCTACAAGCCCGGACAGACAGGTACCAGTGAAGGGGTGGAGAGTTGTATTTGAAGCAAAAATATGTACTAAAGCTGTTGGACTGTGCTGGCCAGTTGTCAACTGCTTCAGTGGCAGTCAGAACAGCAACCTCATGGCTGAGGCTTATGTTTTTAATGCTCAGTATGGGAACAATTTGGGGAACCTTAACCTATCTGGAGAACCTTAAGATGCACGTGTCTGGGGCACCTGCACACATTCCCTCTGTCACTTGAGGGCTCTGCTGTTGTGGTCCATGCAGTTAGGGTCCGCATTAAAATCAGAAAAAGACTGGATATTTGTCCTATAGAGAACAGGGCCAAAATTCAGACTAAGTCATGAAATAGCATTCAAAGCAACAGCTGATTTTGCTCAATGAAGACAGAGAGAACTATATAAACCATTTATTTCTTCTGGGCCATTGATCTCCTGAATTTGGCCTAGACAGGAACTAATGTCCTAAAAGAGACACTGAATTCTCTGTCCATCCAGAGCCAACACAAACTTGCAGCCAAGTGCTGAATTAATTTGCTTGCATTCATCCTTCCTAAGACATCAGACTAGTTACAACAAAATCAGAAGACCCATGTGAATTGCAGTGTAAAAATGTATCCATGAAAAGTAGACAAAGGCAACTTAAATTTAACTTTGGTCCCAGTTAATGAGATGCCCATGATCTGTAAGGTGTTCACACTGCTGTGGATTTGCTCTTAACATCCTCTTTTTAATGTAATTTGTTATACGGGTAACCTTCTAGCATGACTTAGTGTTCTAATGAATAGAATTTCTTTAGAAGAGAACAGCTCTGTTCTCTGTTGTACCATTTGGTTTTTCGCAACTGATGTTTTCTGGTTGGTGACTGCACTGTGGAACCTCACTCTCTGCCTTTCTCCATCAGTCCTGTTCAGAATTGTTTCTCTGGATAAAGACTTCCGTCCCTTGAATGAGGTGGTAAGTATGATACTTCCTTTTCACTACTTATTTGGCCCTAAGTCATCTATATGGGGAAGAAAGAGGTGTCTTTTGGGGAGACCTCTCAGTACACTGAGATAGTTGTGCAGTTCCTGGGTTATCTCAGATCTTGGTAACAGGACCTGTTCTTCAAATTTCTGCATAAGGCTGCCTTCTGCATTCTTGGAAAGGTTTCACAAACTGCAAATCAACAGTGCTGGTGTTCACACCTCAGCAGTGAGCAAATCTGCATTACCACAGTGTACACCTGCTCTTACTGGTATTGCAGATCATACAGATTTAGTAATTTCAGCTGCCTTTTCTGCCTGAGGCAAAGGATTGCCCTTCCTCTTCATGTACCTCAAATGCTTTGTTGCTCCACACCAGGGACTTTCTTCCTTATCCTATTGGGTGATCAGTTTGTTCCCTGAAATGTGGTGATAGCCCTGGCCATTTGACTGTGTTGCTTGCACTCTGTCTAAATGTGCATTCTAAATATCTTGTCTCCTTTCTTCCCTTTCTAGTTTCCGCTGGTCTATATCGAGGTATGTACCAACATTGAATTCATGTTCACATCTATCTCACCCCGACCTGGGCAGCATAACTACCTGTTGCCTGAAGATGATTCTTGTCTATTTTATTTATTAATCAGGTCCATAACATTAATTTGAATATACAGGGCTTTAACTCATATGGTGGCAACCATGTACTCTGGCCCAGGTTGCAGCTCTTTCTCTTGTGCAAACCTCCCTCCCCCCAACTCTGCTTGTGCCCCCCACTCCTACCCTGCAGCCTCCTGAAACCCTGGTGCTGGGCCTCTCTCATTGCTTTTGCTAGTGCTTTTTAGTTCTTGTTGCAGACTTCCACTGTTCTCACAATTTCCTTGTGGTCTCATTATCTATAGGACCCAAAGAAAAACCGTCTGTACCAGTGGTCAAAGGTGGAGTTAAAGGGGGGGTTAATTCAGCTGTTGTTCAAACTCACTTCTGAACCTATGCAAGGGACCTACACAGTGGCGGCACAGAAGGCCTCTGGGAAGACAATTCAGCACCCTTTCTCTGTGGAGGAGTATGGTAACTGTCACTGCAGTTTCAAGTTCCTAACATCTAGTCCCATGGGGCATGAAAGCATAATTGAACAGGGTGGTAGATCCGACCAGGATGTCCAGCACAGCTGGAAAAATGTCTCTGTGTCCTCTCCCTCCCAAGCATCATCCCTTTCTGAGAAGTGAAGACTGAAGGACTTGAGTGACCTGTCTCCACTCCTCCCTAAGCCCCAGGCCATGCTGTGCAGCTCTTCTGACTGCCCACCTCAGCAAGGCTCCAGTCAGGAGGAGCAAGTGTGCTGGCAACTACAAGTCTCACCTCCTTTCAGAGGTGATTTAAGGACACAGCTTCATCTCCAGCTGGATACACACCTGTCAGGTGTCACACTATGAGCCTGAAGCCCAGAGTCCTGACCTTTTGGTGTAGGCTGGGGCTGTCTGTAAATTCAGGTCTTGCCTGCCCTCCCCCACAAGCTAAGCCCATAGCTCTCATTACGCCTTAGTGCCTTAACCTCTCCCTGGTACTCTCACCCCTATGCCAGTTCCATCTGCTTGGCTAGAAAATGGTATCCCAACACACACGCATGCATGGCTGCAACGAGCATAACTTCCCACCCCAGCAAGCCAACTGCAGCCCTTGGTCTGACATGGTCTGACATGATGCAGCAGAGAGGAGTTCTGGAAGATGAGCCTGGAAGTCCTTTGACCTCTTTCAATTGCAAGACTGTTCCTCTGCCCTGAATCCCTCCTAGTTCTCCCAAGACAGTCACCATCCACTTCCCTGCCTGCAGCTGGATTTGGATGTGCTGTCACCCTGTGCTGAGTCACCAGGGAAGCTAAGGGGTCTTCACATTTTGCAAATTGGAAAGACCTACATGCTTTGGAAATGCAGAGACCAGGCTATGGTCCAAGCTCTGTATGTTTGTGGGAGATCTCTATTGACTTAGCTCTCTATTTTACTGTATCCTGCTTCTGGGGGGCTGATAACGCATGTGTTATCTAAGAAGCTGATGTATTTTAAGAGCTGGTGTAATAATCCTGTCTTCTTACCTGGCACAGTGGTTGGCCGAGTGCCTGTGACTTTCACTGACTTCATTGGGATGTGCAAGTGACAGAAGTCTCTAAAATCTGACCACTTAGATGCAGAGAACATTTGTAAGAATAGCCTTTGAGCAGCCTTCATGTCTCATTCTTATGTTATTCCCCACAACATAGACTGTTTTCCTTTGCTTCTGCTGCAGTGCTGCCAAAATTTGAAGTAACAGTGAAAATGCCCAAGGTGATCACCATTCTTGATGAGAAGCTGAAGGTGACAGTTTGTGGTCTGTGAGTGTCATTCTTTTAAGTCCTTCTTGGTTTCAGGTTTTTCTTCAGTTGCTGTTGAAAGTCCAGCTGGGAGACTGAGATGTGTTACTACATTATATTTCTCAATCCTTTTGGGGTCCCAGGACCAAACAGACTACATCCAACATTAAACAAAAGAAAACAGTTATTGCTTGGGGCAGTTTTGTATGTAACATGTAGAAACTTATTGTTCTTCTGGTTTTTGGGAGGGGCTTTTTTTTGAGTCATAGAGGATTTAAGACCAACTGCAGTGCTAGGGAAGTGGTCTTTGGTTTAGTTTACCTGGGAATGATGTTTTAACTCTGGCCTCTGCTTGTCATCACTGAGAGGAAACTGTAAGTGATGCAGCTTCCCTCTTCCCCTTGGGCCACCTGATTCGATTCTGCATGGCACGTTCCATGCATCCTGCAGGCAGACCCATAACTCAGGTTGAAGAACAAGCCAAAAGACCCAGAGCACATGCATAGACAAACCAGTTCCATCCAAATCGGGCAGTGGGGTAGATACTTGCAACATGTTCTCCAAGGTGAGGGGTACTCTCAACTAAATCAGCATTAGGGTAAATGATTTCTGCAGACTTGTGTGTTATTCCCGGGGTTGCAGTCAGGGCTATAAGATTCGGTGCTCCTGCCCCATTGCCAAGCTCCATCCTAAAAGGTTAACAAATTTCTTTCTGCTTTTTATTTCCTGTGATGACTCTGATGTATCCTGGAGGCAGCTCTAGGGAAGAGCCCTGGCTCCGCTGGGGGTGAGCTACTAATTTTTTTCCACCCCTCTTACATTTCTAATGGCTCTGTTCTTCTTTCAATCCTTCCTGCTGGTAGATACACATTTGGGAAGCCTGTTCCTGGCCTCGCGAGCTTCCGTGTCTGCCGGAAGTTTGAACGCACAACCACCTGCTATGGTGAAGAGGCTAAGGCCGTGTGTGACGAGTTCTCTGGACAGGTGAGCCAGGATTACTCTCATGGGCAGAGTGATAGGAGAGTGTGTGGTTTATTGAGCATGCCTTGCAGGCACAGGCTTGCTCTGAGGGCGTATGTGCAAGCATGAGCGTGAAGAGGGGAGAGACTCCATGTATTTTAAGGAAGCCTGAAGAAAGAGAGAAGATTGGGTGCAAGATGAAATGTGAAAGGTAAAAATAGGGGGAAGGTCTGTGCAGTAAGAAGGATGTGTGAGAAGGCAAGAAGCTGACAGAGGAAGAAGGGGTGAAAGAAACAAAATAAAAGGTCAGGCGGAACGTAGAGAGTATAAGAGAGAAGTGAGATAGAAAAGGCATGAGTGATGAGAGCAGAGCTGGGGTTGGCTTACACTAGAGACGGTGTGTGGGATCAGAAGTTGGTGTTAGAAGCAGGAAAGGAGCAGAAACCAGGGGAGGGGTGATGCATTTTGAGCAAGAAGAAAAGGGATATGGATTTAGCAGAAGTGGTTAGGACAGACAGAAAAAAAATAAATCACTTTTTTCACTCTTCAGACTGGCAAGTCTACGAGAACAAAACTGAATAGTGTTTGGAGCATGGACAGGTGCAATAGTGCTAGCTTTATTGACAGAAGCTGGGGTAATAGCAATTGTGGAAATATGCCAGGACAAGAAAGCAAGCAGAAGACACGCTTATGGTCCTTGGGGTCTGCTACAGTATGATCTCCACAATTGCCTCTGCCACTGCTGTTGTTATCCATGCTAAAAGAAAATATGAACACTGTGGTGCTAATGTCTGTTCCAGGCATCTTTTCCCTTTTCTGTGGAGACCTGCCTTGTACTGAAGATGCTGAAGAGAGATGGCAAGCCTTGGAAATACTTTTCCAGCTATCATCTTCTTTCTACACATACACAGGCTTTGGTTCATGTATTGCTCATGCGGCTTGCGCATTTTAAGTCAGCAGCTATATTCTAATGTGCCTGATGCCTGGCAAACAATTCCTGTGTGGCATACACTTGAATAATTCCCTATGCTTCTGTATCAAGTGTTTGGAATTTCAAACTTCACACACACATACACAAAAATGTTCTAGGTTTCAAACTCTTTGCTCTGATATTGCTGCAAGTACTTCAAAATGCTGCTTGCCAAGTTATTTATGTGCTTTTCCAGTTTTTGATAAAAAACAACAGGGGGAATGATCTGTGAGGTTATGGACTTCTCTTCCAGTTCTGAGCAACTCACAGTTATGGATTCAATAAGTTGGATAAACATATAAATGAGACTGTAATGGTCTTGTTTGTTTTCCTCCAACAGACAGACAACTATGGCTGCATTTCTGAAATTGTAAAGACCAAGGTGTTCCAGCTCAAAAGAAGTGGATATGAGAATAAGCTCCATGTGGAGGCTAAAATTAAAGAGGAGGAGACAGGTATGAATCATCTGGATTGAAGAGCCATGTAATAAGCCCAGGAGAGACCAGCAGAGGGGCCTGCCAAGTAGGAATGAGGGAGAAAAGCAGACTCTTGCTTTTCTGGAATCCTGAAGTTTTCCTACCCGGAGGCCAGGAACATCAACAAAATTGCTTGTCCAGCAGAGGAAGGTTGGCCTGGAGTAAAAATAATTCTGGTCAGGCAGAAGCAAATTAATTCTTTGTGCTTCTTCCTGCAGGAGTGGAGTTGACTGGAACAAGCTTCTCCCAGATCACAACTACCATTAGCAAAATCACCTTTGAGCATTCAGACTCCCACTACAAACCTGGAATCCCCTTCTTTGGGCAGGTAGGGAAACCATGAGAATGGAATGCGATGAGTGTCAAATGATC